ACATTGAGATTAAGAGTCTCACGCTCTACCGACTGAGCTAGCCGGGCTTGTATGTAAAGTCTGACAACTTCTAGTTGCATAACATTTCATGAATGAAATTTTTACACTAGTTTTGTCATCGCACAAAGAGGAAACTACATTTCCATACATCTTCAGGGTGTGTGTTCGAGCCCCATGTTGGGCGCCATTTCTTTTTTTCTTGATTACTTCCATTCCTGCTGATGCAACGATTATCGGTCTCTTTTTTTGAGGGCGTACGTGAGGATGCTAAATAATTTCAGTTTATCGTAATCGACAAAAAGAAGCGAAACATTATTTATTTTGAACAGATTCAAGAAAAGTTTGCGATATTCTAATTAATGACGAGCTCTGTCTTTGTTAAAATTTTCAAAACAGTCGATTAAAATTAAGATCACGGTAGTGTGGGTGTGGGATTCGTCCAATCTTACTCGAAGTTTACTCAAGAAGAAAAGAAAGAACACTATCCAGACTCTTCAAATCCATAGTATACAATGTAACCAATAGAAATATATCAACGACAAGATAAAATATAGTTATATTTCTTTCTTTCTCCTCATAAATAATCGCTCAACCATGACAATTATACGATATGTGATGAAAATAACCTCGTTTGATACGAAAATATTTTTAACGTTACATACCATAAAACAAATTTTATCAATGTCGAATGAAAATATTCTGTCTCTTCATATTTTACCTATAGAACTTCTCTACCGAATTCTTGATAATATGGACGATTTGACTATGTTATGTTCAATGAGAAATGTCTCGAAACGGATTAATGCAGTTATGGACATTTATCATCGATATCAGGTAAAATTGTTTTTAAAATATCATTCATTCCTACAAAATACAAAAAGATGATTCAATTCCAAAGCGGTTAAACCACATCATATTTTCGACTATTAAAAGAATTTTTATCGATTAGAAATTGAAGTACTAGCACTGTTTTTACACTCTCAATTATTAGTTCATTAGAAATACTGAGTAACAGTAATCGATATGTTTGAGATTGAGGAGGGTATATATTTCAGTTAAACATCAGTAAAATGATGATATAGAAAACAAACTTTTGTATTAAGTAAAAGACACAATCGTCTCGCGTACGTGAAACATCATATTTTATTCAGCAATTCTCAGATCATCTCACTTTTCTTACTGTATAAAATAGACACTCACCGCATTTCATCTCAACGAGCGAACAATCGATGAAAAGGAAGTAAAACACCTTGCTAACGTCCTAAAACAAAATAAAGTAACATATTCAGCTTTTCATACTATCGTTCAATCACTATTTCACACAGATACTCATCACGCTTGATCTCGCAGGCAATAAAATCAGTAATCTAGCAGCACAACATCTTGCCAACGCTCTACAGATAAATGAAGTAATATCCTGACCATCTCATGCTATTATTTAATCACTATTTAATTTAGACACTCACTACACTTAATCTCCGCATTGATGCAATCGGTGATCAAGGAGTTCAACATCTTGCGAATGCTCTACATCACAACAGAGTAACATCCATACCCTCTCATCCTACCATTTACTTATCATTTTATATAGACACTCACCACACTTGATCTCAAATATAATGAAATTAGTGTTGAAGGAGCAAAACATCTTGCCAATGCTCTTCAACAAAATACAGTAGTATCCTCACTTTCTCGCTCCATCATTCAGTCTCTATTCTATATAGACACTCACTACACTTTACCTTGGTGGCAATCAAATTGGTGTTGAAGGAGCAAAACATCTTGCAAATGCTCTTCAACAAAACAAAGTAATATCCTTATTTTCTCATCCTATCATTCACTCTCTCTTTTATATAGACACTCACCAAACTTGAACATAGTGACAATCAAATCGGTGATGAAGGTGCTCAACATATAGCCAATTCTCTAAAAAACAATGAAGTAGTATTTTCAGCCGTTTATCATCGTATTTAAACACTGTTTTCACATAGGCGCTAATCACACTTGTCCTTCAAGAAAATAAAATTGGTCAACAAGGAGCAGAACATCTTGCCAATGCGCTACAGCAAAATAAAGTAAGATGCACGCTTTTCCAATATATCATTCATTCATTATTTCATACAGACACTCACTGCACTTAATCTTCGCATCAATGCAATCGGTGACCAAGGAGTTCAACATCTTGCTAATGCTCTAGAACATAACAAAGTAATAACATCACTCTTATATCCTCACCTTCATCTCACTTTTTACAGACACTCGTTATATTGGACATCAAGCTAAACGAAATTGGTGTCGAAGGAGCAAAATATCTTGCCAGTGCTCTACAGCGAAATGAAGTAACACCCTGATCATCGCATGCTATTATTTAATCACTATTTCATACAGACACTCACTAAACTTTATCTCGGTATTAATCAAATCGGTGTCGAAGGGGCGAGACATCTTGCCTACGCTCTACAAAAAAACAGAGTAATTATTTTTATCCTCTTATTCTATTATTTGTTCAACTTTTGATACAGACACTCACTAAACTCGACCTAAGTGACAATCAAATTGGTAATGAAGGGGCACAACATATTGCCAATGCTCTAGAAAAAAATAAAGTAATATTCTCACTGTTTCATACTCTCATTTAATTACTGTTTCACACAGACACTAATCACACTTCTCCTTCAACGAAATGAAATCGGTGATCAAGGAGCAGAATACCTTGCTAATACGCTAAAACAAAATGAAGTATGTTCGTCATTTTCACGTTCTATCATTCACTCACTATTTTATACAGATACTCACTACACTTAATCTTAACGATAATGCAATCGGTAATCAAGGAATGGAACATATTGCCAATGCTCTACAACAAAATAAAGTAACATTTTCACCTTCTCATTCTTTTATTCAGTCATTCATTGATACAGACACTCATCAAACTTTATCTTAGTCGCAATCAGATCGGTGACGATGCAATGCAATCTGCTAAAAATATATTGAAGAACAATCTGAAACTAGAATTAATTTTATAATAGTTACAGATGTTAAGTAATAAACTATACATTATTTGATATTGACCTAGCCTGCATGACGAGGATTTGTTTCGTGAGACTATCATAGAGAAAAATTGCAATAAATTATAGCGAAAAGAAGAAGACGTATACGTGTATTTTTCAAATAAAATGATGTAACTTGTGTAAAAATTTTAGTTTCAAAAACCATTGAATTTTGAAAATTTCAACTAATAAGATCAAATGCTGGTGAATGCATATTTACTTCAAGACGATAAACAAAGACCAAAGTTTTATATTATCAAATGTGGGGTAAAACATTTTTAATGGCAGAAGAAATTTTATAATGTAAAATATCTTGATAATCCCACAAAACTGACTATCACTATCAGCTAGGGAGAACAGTTATAACTATTTAATCACATCTGCACATTTCGCAACAGGTTTGAGAATGCATTCAAACAATCGAAGAAAAAAAATATTCACTGGCTAGAATAAACGAAGTAATCTTTTAAGATGAGAAGAGTAGATTTATGATGATCCAATGTCGATATGATTTGTTGAAATTCATCAGACTTTAGACAGATATGAAGATATAACCGTTTTATCAGATACCCTAGTTATTCAGAGTGGAGGGCTTGAGTATCATTTAAATTTTACACCACAATCCACTGTCAACTGATCACTTCATTTCTAAAGATATTTAAAATCTGAGTAATACGATTCGATTAAAATACACACACTCGCTTAGCAACTTGATGGTGTAGGCGTCTCTTTTCTTAATCGTCATGAGAGAAGATAACTGCGTGCATATGAATAATGCTTGTGAAGTCTGTTGCGACGTAAGTAAGAAAGAAGAATGATGCACTGATAACAGTATATCAATTATCAGAGATGTAAAGGTGACTAAGTCAATAAATGACAGAAAAAACGTTTTTATTTTACACATAACACCATATTCATCGTCACATTCCTACTTCCTAACAAGCAAGCTGTGTGAGAAATCGTGCTATCTTACACAACACATTTTTTTAACGAAATTAAAGCAGTTCTCATCCGATATTAACAAGTATTCACATCAACTTTATTTTGAAAATAATCTTGTAAAATCTTCAAGGTAGGATAGTTTAGAATTTAGTCAATCCACTTTGAAAGTGTGAAAATTCTAAAGCATTCTCATCTTCTAACGAGCAGTTAGAACTTTGAAGTCTTTTTTCTCGTCATTCTAAATAGTTTAACTAAAATGTCTTGAGTTCTAAAAACAAAAAAGAGATGCGAAGATAGCAACAGTAGTAATACTCTTTTTCTTCAGACATCTATTTTTAATATGAACTTTCTTTCGACTTTTTCAGTTAACTGAAAAATTTAAATACTATTTTAGAAATATTTTCAATGAGTATCAAAAATAATACTACATCTCCGACGACAACGTCTCGCAGAACTCACCGTTGGGATCCATTAGAACAGAGTGAAAAACAGAAATTCTGTGTCCAAAGTAAACCACCGCTTTCACTTCGTCAATTTCTTCGATCTACTATAACCAGCAATCCAGACGGTAAACATTGGAAGCCAGCTGGAATGTATCATGGATCTCTTGTCCTAGAAGACCCACCTACGAAAGCACCGGATACTCTGCCTAAGATTATTATAAAAGGACGCAAAGATTCACGTCCTGTTTGGTCTCCACCTGGTGTTGTTAAATTCAAACGACCTGCGTCCTCGAAGGAAGAAAACAAACCACCAAAATCTGAACATACTACAACTGAGTCCGAAGACACTCGTGTAAAAGTGACTCCATGGTATCCTTCTGGTAATCCATATTACGAACCAGTAACATATTTTGATGCGCCAAGTTTGAGATGGTCATCTCAACAAATAAAACAATCAATGCCCGAATTCAAATCGATCCCAAATAATTCATCAACAAATCCGAAGTAACCACAATACATTTTTTCACTATATTTTATCCTGTAACTTTACATTAATTATGCTTATCATAATTTCTTTGATTCACTTACATTTATTTTTATAAAATCATCCAAATAAATTATGATTCTAAAAATAACATCTAAAATACTTTCAACAAGATCTGACTAGGATTTGATTTTCATACGTATCTATTTCCAAAGTTTCGCACTTTTGCACCCAACGGTTTTAAGTTTAGTAGAACGAAATATTTTGCACATTATCCGGAAGTCTATTCAGACCTTTTTAGAATTTAAAAGGTTTCATATTATGTTGACAGAACGTAGGGAAAGAACAATGAATACGGAATCTATCCATCATCGTGGATTTTCATTTATCATCATGTGCAGCGATGTAAGTCAATGCACTGATCGACGACGGCGATCATCTTGAGGGTGTGGATGTGTAAGTACTCGATATATATATCCACACCCGTCCTTCCAGTAAATTTTAATTAAATCAAAATTATTTAAATTAAAAAATGATTGTTTATTATTCATCAATCCATTGCCCAGGTTCACAAATTCGATGACGGATCGGATTGGTTGACCTGGGAATATAATATTGATCAATTTACTCAATTCTTAAGAAGCTATGATGAGTCAATGTCAATTTTGGTTCATCTCAAACAGCAATATTTAATGCAAAAAAAGGAACAAGTCATTCGATCTGTAATTTAACATCTATGAATAAAGAAAACGATCAGGTAACAACTATCAATTTGATCCTATTGTCAACAAATTTGCATCCGTTTTCAACATATTAATTGGATAACATACATATGAGTTCATCCGAATGAATTTACCAGGTGCATTTCCTTCTACCACCACATTAAAAACGTACAACCAAAAGATAAATTTGCACATGAGTGAATGTGAATTTCGATTTGATTCTCTTAAAGATTATTTAAATTTAATGGATCGTAATCATGTCTTTTTGGTAAATATTACGAAATAATGCAACATTTGAGAAAAAAACCATTCTGACTTTTTTTAAGTTACTATAGAGATAGGTTAATTATAATTTAGAAAAGAAAGATAGCAGACATATACAATCGAAAAAGTAACAGATTTCAGTCCGTTTTGATATATTTTGATGAATATTTGTGTAGTTTTATATTCACTTAGGAAGTTTTCAAGGTCAAATAGACTTATATATACTAGAGTTAGTTTTGGATTATATTTTTCATCGTTAGTAATTGAAATATTTAATTAATTTTTTTCTTTTCATAGTCGGAAGATTCAACTAGTGTCATTAATTCAGCCTCTTATGACATTCGAACTGATAGTTTTCTCCTTCGTTAGTAAATGGTTTACTATTTGTCAGTCAGTTCAAAACCAATAGTTTTTTGTGAACTAGAACAATGGTGTCAAGATTGGAATTAAATCCAAGTTTATAAATGTACATGTGATTGAACCTTCATTAAAAAGCACCTCACCATTAGTTCATTCATGACCATATATCATATCTGGCTTTGGAACAAATAATAAATACACTAGTATGGATGTTCTTCGAAAATGGAATTATTTATATAATGAATGTAAACAAAAAAACATTCATCTAATTGGTTTTGCAACTGATTGTGACCCAAAATATCTAAACGCCATGCGACTATGGTTAGATTTTATACACTTATGCACCAAATATAGATTTATTAAGTAGAAGCAATAATATACTTAATATCGACATTCCATGAAATTGAAATTTTATTTTTATGAGGTCAACTCAATCATATGTTTATTTTCAAGACGGTATACATATAGTCACAAAATGGAGAAACAGACTATTATCAGAAACAGCAACTATGTCTATTGATAGTTAAAAAAAGAAGATGTGAACCAGTTATTTTATTTTATTCAGAATTATCCAAAAATTGATCATAACCTAGTGAAATCTGATACTTTTCTTTGTGATCAACAGAACTACTCATCGTGCTTAAAAATTACATATGATGATGCATTAAAATGATTCAACAATATAAATACTTCGGGTATTTATATTTATTAAAACTAATAATACTTATTTATGTTAAATTAGATACTGATATTCTTACTCGCTTATATTTTGGATGGATAGTAACTTTCTCATATAGAATGTGGAGGTAAAGAAAAAGAGTCCTGTTGTTTTTATTTATTTATTTATTTCATTAATGTTTTCTAGGAGTAATCATCGAACCAAGCGAAATCTTTCTCAGAGACAAAAAGACAGATGTTTTATAACAAAAGCCCTTTGGTTATCATCCATAATGATTTTAGTATCTAACGGATATATACCATCTTATGCACTTAATATACATCTTTTATAGTAATCAACCATGTGAAGCAACATTCAGAAGTGCAAGATCATTAAGTGGCATACTTTTTACAAAAACAAATTTTCCACTAGCTCAATTTATCAATAAAATTGGGAAAATTTCTATCTTAAATCAAAAAAACCAATTGCAGAGGTTGGAGATGCCGAATGTTCATTAAGATTTCCTGTTATCACAAAAGTAAAGACAAAGAAAGCAGTACGCCTGTAAGTAACTCAGATATATTCTTAATAACAACAAATGACATAGAAAAATAATTATCAACAACACCCAAGAAAAATAATTTAAGTGGTTTCAAAAACCTTAATGCATTTGTTTTTAAACAATTTACCGAAAAATCAACAGTGGATTGGCAGCACGACTTTGCACAGCTACTAAAAACTGTTTATCGTGTGACAGACTATCAAGAATTCAGAGAACAAATAAAATAACATTAATAAGCTAACATTTCAAATTGTTTTTTGTTTGATTAACTAAATATATTTTTGAATAAAACGTAGTAAATAAAATTTGAATTATATTTCCAATTGAATACTATAAGAACTAGTCAGCCTGTAGGAAAAAACTATTACGAAAAAAGCTTACAGTAGCATTTATTCGAACATACTCGTCTTAACTACAGAAAGTTTGCGGACTTTTCCAGAAATTATACTATTGTATATTGTCAGTTATAGAACATCAAGCACAGCTGAGTGCGTTCGAAGTCAATGATTATATATTTGAATAACAAATGAATATTCATTAATAGTATTTCGCAGTAAATCTCTAGTACATGTGATAAGATACATACATAACAACTAAACATATGAAATATAGAATGAATGTAAGTTTATTTATTATTTACTCCTCATCCGCATACTTATCTCCACCTGACTTCCTTTTTGTCAGCACATCCGTATCAAAAATGATGTATGCACATACATATTATTTTATTTTTTGTGAGCAAAACAAAAATTATTGGAAGTTCATCTCTCTTGGTTCTATCGTATATCACATCCTTTATCTGTATTCTACGTCATAGAAACCATGAATTGATCCGTTGCTGTTGATTTTTTACGGGTATGAGTGTGCATGATGTTGTAGTTGAGAGGGTATGAGTATCATATTTATATCGTATTCACTGCCACACCCATACCCTAGTTTTAACTTGAAATGAAATCTATTCTGGTCTTGGACGTATATGTGAAAAGTCTATTTTATAGCAATGATCAAATAACATATTACGATACTTATTTGCTTTCAAGAGTAATGTATATCATGAAAAGAAAAAAAACGGAAATGACAACTATATAGTAAAAATAAATGCAGACATAGGTAAAAAAAATTAATTTTAGTTTTTATAGATGAGTACTTTTGAGATGTTCATGATATAGAGTTTATTGCATTTTAAATTATACATCTACGTCATTCATATAGTTTATAAAGTATATTATTTTACCTTGTATAGAAAGTAAAACAAACGTAGATCCAATGCTAGTTAAGTAGCAAGAGAAAATAAATCTTCGTGTAAACTGATTCTTTAGCTCTTTAGTTTTTCTCTACTGAATACTCACTGTTGATGGTGAAAATTTCTTCATCAAATTTGTTCAGTCTACGCACATGTTTGATAGATTTTCATCCTAATTTAACCGTACGAAACAAAGAAAAAGTTAAATATTCAAAGGGTGTGGGTGTGGGTATGACTGAATGATAGTGAAAAGACACCCACACTCTCAAGATGGTTTCTCACCGTAATAATAATCATAAAATGATAGAAATAACATTTTAAACAGATTTATAATGAATGAAAAAAAATATTTATATGTACTTTTTGACGGAATAAAATACTTTATGACTTCTAAATAATTTACTATTACAGACGTGACTATAATGATTTATTAATGCCTCAAATATTTTATATTTTATTGAAGTACTCTTTACAAAGAGAAAATCTATATTATAAGAAATGCTCTTGAAATAACAATGTTTAATTACTTTGACAATTCATTTTTAATCATACAACATATAAATTGACAATACACAGAAGAAATGCTTATCATTTAACTTTCTCCTGTTTTGATCTTGTTTATTTTTTACTATTCTTGCAAATACTTCTCTTCAATAGTTTTAATCTGTTCTTGAGATAAAGTTTGACAGTATGTGTTGAGTAATCTAATTATTTTCTCGTATGGTTTAATATCTTTTTGAGTTCGTAATTTACAAAAAATACTCAATTCTATAGTAATCTATTATTTTTTAATGTAGTTAAATAAGCATGATATTCAATACCCTTTATGAATGGTTTATCAATTTAAATCTTTTCAAAGAACATGATCGTCTAGATCAACCTGATGAAACAACTATTCATATTCAACGTCGCTCTACTCGTGTATATCTTCTTTTGTTGATAGGTACGTATCTGATAATTAAAAAGATTTCAATAATTTACAAATAAATTATTTTCTTTTTAGGAATAATCACGATACTTATGGTTCACACGGCTCTATCATACCAAAATATAAATAGAATAGTGCAAGCTCCAGATCTATCAACTTACATGAATCTATTAAACGAACATCCAGAT